ATATTAAACAGAACCTAAATTGTTAAGCTAATATAATAATTTAATTAGTTATAATAACTATTTCTTCCGTCTTCCATCAAAACAAATAAGTTATAAATGAATTAAAGAATTCATTATAAATTGAGAAATAAAATGAAGGAAATTTAGATTAAAAAAATCAATTAATATAAGAATTAATTCCTTTCACTTTTTCTGAGTTAGAGCAGAAAACAAAGGCAAGTCTGGGCGGAAAAGTCGACGCCTCTGAAAAAAAAAAAGAAAAAAGATTAGCATATGTTTGCCCGCCTCTGAATAAAGACACTCCCAAAAAAAATCCCAAGCCTTCTGCTTCTCCCCTTTCTTACGCAAGAGACTTCTTAAAATCATTTTAGGTATGCCCTAACATTTTAGAATTTGCTTGGTGGTTCTTGTTAGGGGAACAGATCCACCTATGGCTTTGAGCTAATTGCCTTAGGCGTTACGATTTGTTGTTTATTTGTTTTTTTGAGAGATCAAGTGGTACCAGGGGTCATCCGCAAAGTCTCTTAAGGGAGATCTAGGGTTCGACCCTTGGAGAAGCCTCCCTTGAAAAACAAATAAACAATAAACCCTAGCGCTCAAGTTAATACGCTTATCGCTATAAGCGGGATCTACCCCCTTAACATATCAACTCAAGTAGTACCAAAGTCAAGTAGTACCAAAGGTCACCTGCAAAATTTCTTAAAGGAGATCCAGGGTTCGACCCTTAGGGAGGCCTCTCCCAAGAAACAAATAAACAGCAAGTCCTAATCTCTAAGGCAATACGTCCAAAGCGATAGGTGGAATCTATCCCCTTAACAGTTCTTTCTTTAAGTTTTTCTTTTTTTTTTTTTATCTTTATCTTCATCTTTATCTTTATCTTTTTTATCTTTTCAATAAGAATCTTTATTATTATTAGGTTTCTAATAAATGTTTCATTATAATTGATTAATTTATATGATACATGATATTTGTTAATTGACTATGATCTCAAATTTGAAGATATTTCTAATATAGATTTAAAAAGCTTAATATGACAGGAAATCAATCTTCTTAAATGGTCTTCTCAATTAATTGTCAAGATTGATATTCTTAATGATTGCATAAAGGTTAAAGTTGTGTTTATATATATATATATATATATATTATGTAAAATTTTCAATGTTGTTGAAAAAAAAAATACCATAGTGTTGGATTCAGGTAGGATTGAATACCAACACATATATAATCCATTTTTTCTTGCTAAAAACTTTTTATGTGAGTTGTTCGAGAAGCTTAAATTATAAATGCAATTCTTATTTATCTATAATAAAAAAATAAAAATAAAATATTAATATGATTTTTGTTTTGATTAAACCTCAAATTTTAGTCTCTCAACTATTATAAGAATTTTTGATTTTATCTCTGAATATAAAAAATTCCTATTCTAATCTCTAAATTTTGAAAATTTAGCCATCTTTTTTTATCCTTCCACTAATTTTGACTAAAGTGAGTTGATAATTGACGAGAAAAGGACATGTCCAAAAAACAATGTTTAACACGTAGGATTGACAACATTAATAAATGAATGACGTAGCGAGAAAATTGATAGCAATTATTTGAGAAAATTATTTAAGAATAGTTTTTTATATTATTTTTTATATAATTTTATGTATTATTTAAATTATGAATTTTTTTTATTTATTTAAAAATTATGATATTAAATATATTTACTAATTTAACAACACATAATAATTATATAAAATAATTATTTCTATATTATTTTTTAATTTTTAAAGAATTTTTTTTGCCATATCATTCATTTACCCTTACTATTAATCAAACGTGTCAAACACTTTTAAATATGCCATTCTTCTCCCATAAATTAATGTGCCATGTCGGTTGAAATGAGGGACCAAAGAAGTGTCAAATTTTCAAAGTGTAGGGACCAATTTTAAAGTTTAGATTAAAGACTAAATAAGGAGTCCACAAAATAGTTGAGGGATTAAATTAAAAGTTTAACCTTTTTCTTTTTAGCTTTTCGTTTTTACACATCTCTGGCTCATATTAGAGAAAGAGATGGATGCAAAAACTCAGCAGGGAATATGATTTCCATGGTTGAAAGAAACATTCCCAATCAAAAATAACGTATTTGATATGTAGTCAAGGTGGATATCAACAGGAAACACAAGCTATGTTAAGCAATTTATATCTGGAAACCAAAGGACCTGTAGGAATATACGAGTCAATTAAGAAAAACGAAATATGTGGTTCATTCAACAAAATTTTTTTAAAAAATAGAGATTGTATTAAAATAATAAAATTAAAATTACATATGAGATCATATATAACAGCCTTAAACCAAAGCAAAAATATATCTTACAATACTAAATACAAACTACAATAATGAAGAATATAAATAATTAATTTAAAGTTATTTACATTTAGATTTTACAATAAAAATAGTCATAAGAGCATAAATAGAGCCATTAACATACCAAAAATGTTGTTATGAGCATTTTGATATATTAAATATAATTGTTATGTCAACTTTTTAAAACGAATAAATAATTCAACGAACAACAATTTTTAATTATTGAGTACTGTATTAGAAAAGAAATATACTTGTAAAAAGGTTAGAGTCTCCCCCATAAATCACATAACCCATATCCAAATTAATCCGAAAGAGAGTTCGAATCTCTATTAATCTCTTGATCATACCACCAATAACCAAAATAATTGCCACAACTGGATCAAGCCTAGCTAGCCCTACCAACATGTTACCATCCTCTTCATACCTGGACAAACCTCAATTGAAAACAAAAAAGAGAGCCTAGGCAAAAAAACCCCTCTCAAAAAGAGACAAGGACCCCCCACAAAAGAGAGACTCCCCCTTTATTTATTCTCCTTAACTAGTGAGGGCGAGAGAAGTGACAGTTAGGGAGGAAAGAGAAGCAAGGAAAGAAGGAGAGTATTTGGGCAAGAGAGGGTAAGGGAGAGGGAGGGGTAGGCGGTTGTTTATTCAGCACTTAATGAGCAAGTATTAAATGAATTTCATGTAGAATGTGATGCTTGTATATACTCTCAGTCTATCTATGGCATATATCAAAAAGTACAGTCTAACAGGTTCATTTTAGTCCAGTACTCCACTGTCCAATATTTTAGGCGACATTCCAAAGATTTTACTCGCAAGGATAAAATTGTGCACTTGGTTGGTGGAAATGCTGGACATGTGTATTAGCTATTAGGTGTAAATATTTACTACCAATAACCAACAACTTTATTCCAATTAAATTAACATCTAGATTTCATCTTCACATTTTGAGCTTACACATTTACTCCATGTTCTCAGTGGCAGACCAAAAGGCCCAAGCACTTAGTGAACTTACCTTGAGAATAGTCAAACACGAGTCCATATCTCCTATTACGTGGCCATCCTGGATCCAAACACTGCACTAGGGGATTTTACCTTAGGTCTTCTACAAAAACAAATAGCAAGATAACATAATGAAACCTGACCTTCTATGGTGCAAACAATGACTCAAACAAGTTTCTAGTAAACTGCCATGTCTGATGATAGAAAATATGATTTCACAGTTTGGGAATGAGAAAATGCCATCCCATTCATTCGAAATGGGGAGACATCACCCCAATGTAACTTGACTGCATTTGTCCAAAATCACCTAACAACAACGTAATCAACGTCATTCTTTCCTTCAGGTGATAAATTATAGCAATGAGATTTACAGGCAATGTTATGTCACTTATGCATCCAGTTCCATGATTCCCTTCGCCAGCCTAAAGTTCCATGCTTGTACGCAGAATATTCAACACGGATAATAATTATAACACAAGTCCTTTTAGATTGAACATTCCTGTTATAATATAACAGTGTATGCAATTCTCTAATTATCTTTGGACATCTTTTCAAACGCTACATGAGATTGATTGGCCTTGAATAAGGATTGACAGATGAACAAAATGCCCCAACAAACATCACATCAGTGCTTCAACTTGGGACCGCAAATCCACTATAGAAGATATGTAAAAACAACAGAAAGTAGATCTATTACTGGGCAATACTCTGCTGCAATTCATTAATCTTTAGAAGAAAAGTTTGAACCAAATAATAGAATTCTTTGATTTTGGTATAAAATCTATGCCTAACAATCGTGGGTCATCCCAAAACTCACGACATTCTATTCGTTCATTCCAAAAAAGATAAAGGGCAGAAAAAGACATAGCCTTAGACAAGAAAAGAAGCTTCAAAGAAAGAAGTGGAGACCTACGGATTCTTTTTGCATGCCTGGAAATCTTCATAGAGGAGAGGATCATTTGCAATTATGAGCAACTTGAAATTTGCAATCAATATCCAAAATTTCAGAAATGATGGACTTCTGTTTTGTCAGGCTCTCCCCTCTTTACTTTGTGCCCCAAAAGCAATTGGTCCCCAGGCACAAATTCCACAGGATGGACAAACACACAATCATTTTTTATGAAAAACACGAACGAATGACCCTCTTCATCAATTTCCAACCTTTCTTTCTCACAGGCATTATAGCAAACACCTGGTGTTCCTTCCTCTCCCATTAGGCTTTAACGAGAACAAACCAGAACAGTGAAGCCAGTTGAGCTACCCACGGTTCGTTCCGTTGCACGCAACGTTGGACCCCAAGTCCCCAATTATTCAAAAGGCCGAAGCCCTGAGATGGAGGGGCTAATGGGCCCACCCTTGGATTAAAAGGACTGTGGCCTGTGAGGTGATGACTGGTTGTTTGTGGTCCTCTAGATCGGACGGGCTTGTCTCCATAGAAAAAGGCAAGAGTACCAACAATTTAATGAAGTTTATACTATTCCCATATGGACAACTACAGTATTTTAACGCACAAAAATATATACTATAGTATAATATTTTAACGAAAAAGTACTTTACTGTTCAGATAATTTTAAATTGAAAAACATACACCTCTTGACGGGGAGGAGAAGAATCTTTATTTTATTTTACAGTATAAAATAATCGTAAAACAATGCACCCATATTTTAAACTTGTTACGAATTGTTTTGGAGTTCTTCTCATCAGAGGATGTTGTATTTCTCAAGGGTATCCTTTTTTTTTTTTTTTGAAACATAAAGGCATTTATTAATCGTTAACTGAATTGAAAAAAGGATTTAATTTGATATGTGCAAATTGATTTAGTATATCATTTGATCACAACTACTATATTAAAAATAAAAAACAAAATCCCCCAACACTCTCCTCGACTTGGGGTAAATTATTAGAATTCTGGTGAAATTGAAGTGATTCTGGCTTTTATTGATGTGAAAAAAGATAAAAAAAAATTAAAAAAAAAATGTAGGATATTCCTACTAATTATAAGTGCTCCCTCTATTTCATATTATTTGACGTATAACGAGAGAGCACTAGAATTAAAAAA